ATTATGATTTCTATTTAAATATATACTGTATTACGATACCATTTTTTTCTTTTTTTATTGAATTTTACATTATCATATTGTATTGTAATGTAAAACACATATTCCGTTAAATATGTTACATATATCTTAACATATTATATCTTAACTCAAATATTTATGATCCATATTTATGATATTTCATTTCCCTTAACTCAAATATTTATGATCCATATTTATGATATTTCATTTCCCTTTTCTCAATTAGATAAGAGTCTCATCAGGAAATATAAAAATTACGAAACGCGATTCATGTATCGTTTTTACTACATGTCGTATATACAAAATAATCACGAAACGTGATTCATTATTATTGACAAAGTTCGAGTATACATCGTTTCTACATATCGTGTCTCTCGCGTTCATCATCATCATCTTCGTTACGATTACTACGACGACAACGAGGACGAAGACGACGGCAGCGACGAATCATCAAAGTATAGATACTGAAATAATTCTACAAAAATCTACTAAAATATGATTATTTGAGTAACGTTGAAAACAATACGCAATCATCAATCGAAGAGGGAGAAATTAAACAGGCGATTTCGTTGTTCCAAGAATATTATCAAATACAGCTGATGATGGTATATTGAATAACTATAAGTTGCATTAAATGCGTAAACCACGATGTGGTCTCCCGGACATTCCGCACCACGAGCAAAATACAGGTAAGAGGAAATGGACGAAAACACATCTCACGTGGAAGTTTCATTTAGCGGATGCACAGACCTTGAAAACTACCGCATTCGCGTTCTCGCTATGGGCAGCGAATTTATTTTTATCGTTCGAACGTAAAACGTTAAATCCCGACATCTTAATATCTTATTGTAGTGACACACACACACGTACGCTGATCATAAACGTAATGAAAAAATTTGCTCCTCTTCGTTCAATGGACTTGGTGGAGTACTCGCTCACGCGTTCTATCCTTCCCAATTACATCGCTGAAATATACGTGGACAGTGCAAATATGCACCATGGCATATATACCTAAGCAAAAAACCTGCTATTAACAAGGAATATTTGCTTAATATGTTAACACACGAAATTGGACACGCATTAGGATTAATACACAGTCCGCGTGAAGACTCCATAATGTTCGCATTTGTAAGTAATAATAATAATAAAACCATTAAATATAGAGGACATTTTAGCCATTCAACAACTCTATGGAATTAAAAATCCAAGACTAACAACAACAACAACAACAACAGCAACTACACAACCACCAACGTCAACTACCGATATTACGACAAATAAACCCGAGTACGTAAATCTCTGTACTTTACAATATGTGAATACGGTGTTAGTATTACATCATCAAATATTCATCACGTATCAACGCTACGTATGGTCGATAAATATAGATGATAAAAAATACGACATACGTACTAAACAGCTACATGAATTTCCTTCCGGATAATTTCTCCTTATCAGCTGCATATCAAACGCCTTCGGGTGAAATAGTACTGTTTGTAAATAATATGATTTACATGGTCGATTATCCCAGTTTCAAATTGAAAGAAGATTGGCCAAAATATCTCTCGAGTCTAGGATTTCCCATGAATACTTTGATTAATATCGTAGTAAATACTAACAGAGAACAAACCTATGCAATTTTCGATAATAACGATGTGGCGCAGATAGACGAATGTAGTATGAGTGTTCGCTTGTATCAATCGTTACAAGCAGTATTCCCAGGAATACCGTCGGCTCCGACCTTGGCTTTCCGATATATGCATGGTAATATTTATTTGCTAAAAAATAATTTTACAAATTTGACGAGTTACGAGAATTGTAACAGAGGCTGTTAAATTTAATATAAACGTACTCAACGTCGAATGTTCGAGAGATGAATTATTGTGACAAATGCAGAATATCTTAGGTCGACTAATTCGAGTAATACATTAACAAAATACAACGAGGAATAAGAAGAAGGAGGGGGAAAAGATGGAAGAACATATAAACATTAAATAAAAAATTAAAACTCAAATGCTACAATCTTAACTAATGAGGTTATTACTTAACTAATTAAGTTAAATTCTATTAAATTAAAAAGTAAAACAAAAATGGTACTGTCTCTGGTTATTTATTTAACTCTAATCATATGTATTATTTATATAAAAGATTTGATACTAACAAAATTGGAGCCAAGTGAAATTCCTTAAAATTTTATGTATTATTCATAAAAAAGATTTGATATCAACAATTGGCACCAATTCCATGTAATTCGGATACTACGTTATATAAATAATATTAACTTTAATCCCAGTGAGAAATGATAATGGAATTGACATCGAATCGACCTTGTCAGTTCGAAATCATCAAATTGACGTCGAATCGATGTCGATTCAATATCAATTTCATTGACATTTCTCACTGGGATGATATTCCTACAAAAGATTTGATACTCAAAAGAGAAGGTCACTTTTTATATTTTTGCCCGTTTTTTAGGGGCTCATGTTTTTGACTGAATTGTATGCCAAATAATATATTGTAATGAGATATTAATTATAAAAAAGTTTCAGGTTGAGGTAACAATTGTTATCATAGTAGGAGCGGGGAGGGGAGTCACATATTACATCTATGCGAAAATCCGTTTGATTCCATCCCTCTCTGTTCGGATAATAATTTTCACCTCATCTTTAAACTTCTTTGTGATAAAAAAATCTATATAGTATATATAGATCTTTATAATATAAGGTAAAATTTTTGGAACACAGTTCAGTTCCAAAATTAAGTGCCAAAAAAACGAGCGATTTTTGCGGTCACTTTTTTTAAGAAACTATATAATCAAATTTAACATAAACCATTTACAAAGAAACATATTGGAGTACCTTTTATTAATGAAGATTTTCTCAAAATCACCATAGAAAAGCAATCAAAATTCAACACAATTTATACAAATTCATTGCTTTAATCACTACAAACACAAATTCATTGTTTTAAAAACATAAATTCACTGTTTTAAAAACAAAATTCCACTGCTTTAAACACACAAATTCTTTGCATTAACAATGAATTTATGTTTTTAAAGGCCGGTTTCATCAATGCCGATTAAGCTTAATCGTGACACGCCAACGCTAGAAAGAAATGAACTTTTTGGCGTTAACCATAGATAAAATTACATAGAGTTAACTAACTTTGACCATAATTGGTAGTCTTAGGGTTCTCAAAGTACGGAATTGGCGCAATGCAGGATTGGCGGAACACTCGTGATTGGTGGCTTCATTCCTCCGATTCCGCCGTTTTCTGTTGCAAAAGTTTATTTCTTTTGCGGATTCCGCCGATGCCTGCATGTGTGCGTGTACATGTACTACATTTGTATATTTATAAAAACTAAACTTGTTAAGCTGATTTAATGAAGGTAACCGTCTCCTATAAGCTCATTAATTAACATGTTGAGGTATGTTCGGATTCTCACCTGTTCTCTGGGTGTTATGTCATTCTTGTTTAATATTTGGTAAGAATGGAGTGATATCTGGGTGATGAAATCTAAACATAATCCTGAAGGTAATTAATTAAAGCAGGAAGTATAAACTCTTGTATAACGCATAACACGTAATGCATAGTCTCAATACAATTTTCTCAATACAATTGAGAAAATGTACCAAAGTTCTTTTTTTCCTTCCTTTCCATGAAATAACGAACTCTGATTGGTTGGATTTCTTGTGTATTATATGTTGTGCGTTATGCAAGAGTCTGTGCTTCCTGCTTAAATCTCCAGATAAATACGGAGGTCAATATAGTCAGAACATGAATGTCGCATATATAGTATACAGAAAAACGAAAATGTTAATCAAAACTAAAATGAGTACACAAAATAAAGATAGGGCAATGTTCCTAAATGTATGTGTGATTTCCGATTCCCAGGAGTTTAGTTTCCTATGTTTCATGGAGTGGAACTTGCAAATGCGCAATCAATAACAAACGCTATTCCGGTGGATCTAATGAAAGTGATCTACGGGAAAGAACAGTTCTTATGATTGGTCAGCGCTAATTGCGCATTCCGGAAATTCCGCTCCATGAGACATAGCAAAACACATTTTAGCGGAACGAAATCGACTGAATAAAGCCACGACTAATCACGAACGTTCCGCCAATCCCGCACTATGGAATCGCATATTCAGGGTGCACTCCCATGGGATGCGAAATTACGGGACATTCGTGATTGGTCATGTCTTTATGCGGCCAATTCTGCCGTTTTCTGTTGAGCAAATTTATTGGCCGTAACATAGTCTTTTGCATAACGCATAATGTATAGTATATAAGGGAATAGTATATAAAGGAACTAATCGAAATTCTTCTTTTCCATGGAATGAGAGGAAAGGAAAGATTCTGATTAGTTACTTCGCTTATGCACTATGCGTTATGCGTCATGCAAAAGTCTGTGCTGCGGTCTTATTTTTTTGCAGATTCCGACAATGCTTGCGCGTATAGCCGGTCATAGAAAGGTTGCAACACTTTTTTTTGGATGGATTTTGGAATGCAGCTTGCTCATCGAGTGATTGGCTCTTATTTATACATCCATGAATAAGAATCGATCATTCGGAGAACAAGTTGCATTCCGAAATTCATCGAAGAAAAAGTGTTGCAACCTCTCTGTGACCAGCTGTACATGTACAACATAAATTTATAAAAAACTAACTTTGTTAAGTTGGTATAAACGGAGAAAATTATCACCTACAAGTGCATAGTTAAGGAATAAGAAATTAAGAATAAAGAATAAATAATTTCAACCTATCAGAAATTGGATGCATTAAACTACACGATTTCTGATAGGTTGAAATCATTTTTTCTTTATTCCTAATTCCTTAGTCCTATTGTGCGCAAAACCTTAATCAACATATTGAGACTCTGCTCGGATTCCCATTTGGGTGTTTTCCAGATGTCATCCTTGTTTAACATTCAGTAAATAACAAGAATAGAATGATACCTGGGTAGCACTCGGGAATCTAAACATAATTCTAAAGGTAATTAAGTCTCCAGATAAATACGGAGTCAATATGATCAGAACATGAATATCGTATATATAGTATACAGAAAGGCGAAAATGCAAATCAAAATTAAAATAAGTATATAAAACACAATCGGCAATGTTCCTGTATGTGTGATTTTTCGATCCAAAGGAATTCATTTTCCTATGTCTTATTTGCTGGATCCGACGTGCATTATAAAGTTCTGCAATCAATCAGAAAGCAGAATTTTATTTCGTGTTGATGATAGGAAGCAAAATTCTGATTAGTTGCAGTGTGTCATATGATACACGTCAGATCCAGCAATTGATCCGAAGGAATTCATTTTCCTATATGTGATTTTCAATCCAAAGGAATTCATTTTCCTATGTCCCATTTAGAGAGCCTCACAGAGAGAGAGTAGCAAATTGCATCACGTGACCCGGTCTCCTCTGATTGGATTTGGTAATCAAGCTTCATAGAGCCATAATGCCGTTTAGATAACTGCAAAAACAGTATGCTTATCACCTTTATGCTGCTTTTCTTTTCAATTTTACAATTGATAAGGTCTTTGTAAGTGATATTTATTATTAATCTTGAAAATATATACTTTCCTCTATTGTACATAAATGCATGAAATGAAACTACGAATTTTTACATTTCAGATATCAAAACAGGATTTGTGCATATTATAAAGTGTCAGCCAGGTGCAGTTCTCCAAGATGCATAAACTCTAATAAAAAAGTATATTGCTGCACAACATTTGCCCAAGATGCAAACTCGAGACAAAAAATGGATTGATGCTGCCGAAATTCCTGATTGGAAACCTTCAGAATCAGCTTTACTGTGTGAGATTGGTACCAAAGCGTGTATACAAATGTTTTATAATGTAACTCCCGTAAACACAACAAAAATAACATCAATGTTGTAATTTCTCACTCAATATCAATATATTAAATTCAATATAATGCGAGTGTATGTAACGATTATGTAATTGAAAAATTCTAACATATTGATGTTACGTTAATGACAGTTGGTGAGACAAATATTTTTCTCTAATGTGTACCTCTTATTTGTTAGATTTATTTTTATTCATCAAAATTATTCCGCATTATTGATAGCAAAAAAATTATGAGGAAAGATGCCATATCAAGTTTATTTGCAAATGTAATAAATCTGTAAAATTAGAAAGAAGAAAAAGAAACATGTTATTCATAATGGTATCTATTACGTAAAAAAACTGCCAATTTTATGTGATTGAATTATCAGTATTTTTCTTTTCTCGTTATAGATGTGATAATTTATAATAAATGTAATAACAAAACTCAATCAGCGGGCGAAGTAAGAGTCAACCACATTTTTTAATTTTTTCATAAAATTATATATTGTATTAAACGCGATGAAACATCACGCCAAAAAATAATAAATAATAAAACTCTAAACTAATACATTACAAGTAACAAGTTTCGGCTACCAGTTTGAGCCCTCTTCAGACATTAGTACAATAAAAAATAACAGAATAAATTCAATTGTCGCAAGTATTCGCATAATCCGAGTAATCACAGTTCGGGTGAGTCTCGATCTCGAAACATTATTTCCGTATGGTTGTACAGTCAAAAATATTAAAATTGTCATTGTTGAAGTTCTAGTTAATAAAACGGATAAATTAAAAACAAAAAAACGTAACGGACAAATACGTATAAATAACATAATATAAAATACCTAAAGTTCAACAAAATTTCATAAAA